AAAGGAAATAAGTCTCCAATCAAATCGAGAATTACTGACGTTCACCTTGAGTCAGTTTTAAAATTAATCACTGCGAACAAGATTTCCCCCGAAGTAGGAAAGATGGTAGCAGAAAAGAGATGCCAAATATCAGGGAGAAAATATTAACTTTACTTTCTTTTTTCTTATTAGTATTTTTTTTAAATAAACCTACATAAATGTTACTATAAAAATTTAATTACTTGTTTTCTTTTTTTGCGGCCCACATAATATTATTACTTTTTTATTTGGCCCGTGTTAGGATTTGAGTTTGACATGCTTGATATAGATATACAAGTATCCGTCATCAATTCTGTCATCGTTTGCTTTTGTGAATGGAATGCTTTAACGTATATGTAAAATATGAAATACGTAACTAGTATGAGTGAAATTTCAGCAGTATGTATAGATAGATAGTAGAATCTGGAAAAACTTATATTGAATATTTCAGGTCTCTATCCCGAATATTCTTCGAGTTATTTGCAAATTTGAGTTGCAAATTTGCTCTTTCGCTCGCAAGCAACGCCTCTAGCGGTGAAGATGAGAGGTAATATCAGCTGACCTAATCTACATGTAAAACGTGTTTTAACAGGACATAGAAAAAATATGGATAAGATATTTGTCGCATTTTTAGTCAAGAAAAATTGAAATTGACAGTTTCTGGGCAAAAAATAGTTTTTTTTTTTTAGTCAGAAAATGATTATGACAATATTGCTGTATCATTTTTGATTATCAGATACAAAATTATATCCGGAAAAATTCCAAAAAGCAGAGACCACGGGTGAAGCCAGTTCATTTTTAGTATGCAGGAACAAAATTCTATCAGGAAAACATTCATTCGAGCAGAAGACACAAAGTCAGATCATCTCTTTATAAAAATATCGCTTCTCAGACACAAAGTTTGGAGCGGGACGTTTCACAAGAATGACATCCACGGCGCCAATTTATAATTGTAACTAATAGTATTTGAATAAAAGCATTTAATCGGGTAAACCCAGGCGTTGCCAGGTCATTCGGCTAGTTTTAGTATATAGATCGCTATGTATAGTTTCAGTATCTTTCGAATAGATTGCTTAAAACTTTACAAAGATCTCGAAGATATGTTTCCTCTACCACTGGGTGGACTATATAGTCACCCTTTATGCCGACATGGACATGGTAGGTTGCGCCAATACCTGGTTCAACCTCCATAGATCCAGCTTCACCAGTTGAGAAGCTATGAAAGACCGTTTAATCCAGGATTTTGTATCAAATGCGAACAGAAAACAACTGAAAATGAGACTCAATAGAATGCAAAGCTAGAAAGAACCAGCAATTGGATTTGCTGAATAAATATTCTTGTGGTATATAATAAGATTGACCCTCATAAGGAAGAATAATCAAAATGAAATGGGTTGTTGGGAGATTTAAAAAGAAGTATTCTTTTGCCATTTATCTAAATCTACCAGTGAACTTCTTGACATATGCAATAAGAAGGATTCGTTTGAGAAGGATTATCTGGAATTTGTGGAAAAATAATAATTTCTTGATAATAGGCCACGCTATTCTCGACACCATCAACAAAACCATTGACTTCTCCTACTTCAAAAGGCACTAGCAGGACTATCCCTAGACCCAGGTACCCGCTCCCAGACCTTACAAACAAATCTCCTGCCCCAGCTCTCTTAGACGCCTTTACAATCTAAATTTTGACCCAAAACTGAACTACCAGAAGAAAACCTACAGTAAGAGACCAGGAGCAAACAAGAATAGGACCGAAGATGGAAGACCAATCTGTTTCAAATGTAACAATGTAGGTTTTCGCTTTCGCTTAAATTGATTAAGGCATCGATATAATATGTCAAATATGTCATTGAAGAGAACAACATTATTCAAACAAATAGTTTTCGATTGGCAAGATGTTTGCTCACTGTCATGAAAAGAAAAACTCATATAACAAACCCTTATTCTCGGCCTTTAAAAATCATGATATACCAAACACACTGGCTTATAGCAAAAGTAAATTTTGTAGAGAAATTGAGCAAAATGAAAATGAGGAACTCTGATAAACAAACATTTATCATCTAAGGGTTAAAACAAATTTGTCCAAGTATGCTGATTTGTTCTCACCGAGGATAGGCAGGATCAATTTGAAGAAACATTGGATTGATAAAGAAGATGCAAAACCAATAAAGCACAAGCCTTACAGAAAATTGGCAATTAAAATAATTTGATTGACATCTTGTCAATACATGCAAAAGTGCACAGTCTGCACTTACACAAGCCTTATAGAGTAAGCGCTAAAGAGCGAACTATTATAAAGAATGAAATTGATGAAATGCTTGAAGAAGGTGTAATTAGGTCATTTTTAAGCCCCTAGTTTTCCGTTATATTAGTAAAAAAAAAAACGGGATGGCAAATACAGATTTTGTGTAGACAACAGAAAATTGAAGTAAAGGATGCTTATCCAATCCCAAGAATGATGGCGTAATGGATACTCTACAAGGATCTAAATATTTCGCAGCAATATATCTTAGATTGGGATATTGGCAAGTCCAAATTGAAGAGAAAGACAAAGAGAAGACAGCCTTCACTATGACCCA